GCTAGGATTACTGGCATGAGCCACTGAGCCTGGCCAAAATTTTTATTAATCATTTACAAATAACAAAAACCCAATACCTGTTGACGTAAATAATTTTTTTGAAAAGTAACTATTTTTCTAAAACAAAAAATATTCATTAGTGAGAAGAATGGCATTGCTTTACATTTTTGTAAATCTCTTTAATGTCTGATTTCATGGAAGACAGCTAGATTCTCCTATCTGCTCTGCATTCAGTATGTTACAATATCACACACCATGTAGCCTCTGAAAAACTCTGTACACTCATGAAAGAATGAGAGTGACAAAGATAAATGACGTCTTAGTATTATAAAAATAGCTTCGACCTTGAGTACCCTCGAAAGGCTCTTGAGAACCCCCCAGACCACACTCCGAGAACCATCGCTCTAGTCTAATCTCCTCATTTTACGTATAAGGACACTGGATCTCAGAAATCCAAAATCACATGGCCTGTTAACGGTAAGACACAGATTAGGTGGTTCGTCTCACTGCTCTTGGCTTAGGTTCTCAATCAGAAACCTGGGAAATAGACCCTAATGGCCTGTCCTGTTCCCTCTAGTTGGAAAGACTGACACAATATATTACCCCCACCCTAATTTTTTTAAGTAAAAGAGAAGAGGTAAATCAATAAGCATGATAAATGCTGCAGCATACTGTGTTTAAGTTTGAATTACAATATTTGAATTAGGATTTGCATTTGAACTGAAACACTAAGGCAAATTCTATTGTCCCTACTCCATGCAAGGTGGTAATGACAAACTGCACAGTAAATATCATAGATAAATATGGAAATCAGATTAACCACCATGTCACTGTTTATCTCATATATTCTCTGTCTGAAATACAATTGAATGACATTTTCAGAAAAATATTCTCAAGTACTGGCTGAAAGAGTGGTAGGTATATTAAGAGACTGCAAATAAATTGGCAATCACAAGGAACATTTTAGATAAAATGGAATTGTTCTTAACTGTGGGTAATCTTCATTCCCTAACTAGACTATATTTTTATCTTTTTTAAAAAATCAAGAAATGTTCTTGATCACCTAGAGACAATTTCCTTTGTATCCTATCAGATGGATCAAATCTTCTTTAAATCGATCATAGCCTTGTTCCTTTAAACAACATAGTACCCAGAAAAGCTGGTCTAGTGGAAGAAATTCTTCCTAAGGAACCCACTCCCAACTTTCATTTTCTTCAGCCTCTACATTCTTTGGTTCTGAATCATGAATCACATCCACCCCGTCTTTCATTAACATAGTGACATAGTGGTAATTCTCTTTCTCAACAAAAGAATTCAGGTGAAGAGCTTCTTCTTCCCAGATTTCACGCTGAGAACATTCTTCCCAGCTCTCACTGAACTCCAAATGACCCCCAGAAAGTTGGAAACTGCTGGCCCCAAACGACCCTTTCCTCTTGCCCAGGA